GAGATTAACTACACCAGCAGAGTGAAATATCTGGGTGTCCTCCTGGATAATAAACTCAGCTGGAAAGAACATATCTGTACTCAGAGAAATAAAGTGTTTGCCTCTATGTGGGCATGCAGGAGAGCTGTGGGCAGGACATGGGGACTCAATCCTAAAATGATGCTCTGGCTCTACCAAATAGTTCTACTTCCGAGACTGTTATACGCTGCGGTCGTCTGGTGGCCGAGGGTGAGTAAGACGGAAACAAGGAACCTGTTGAAAAGCCTACAGGGAACCTTCCTGAGGGCTGCAACAGGAGCCATGAAATCGACACCTACTGAGGCGCTAGAAATAGCACTCAGTATCCCACCCCTCGACCTTAGGGTTGTGAGTTGTGCTACCACAACTGCATATAGACTAAGGTGCCAACTAGAATGGAAGATGACGGGCCAAGGCCATACAAGGCTTAGCCTAATCAATGATCGACCCTTCATAGGTAAGACGGATAGGATTCCTAGGAAGTATCAGATCAGGAAAACTTTCAGAACGAGTATACCACCCAGACAGGAGTGGCTAGACTCGAAACGTAAACCAGGACCAAGAGAGGACTACTGGTTTACGGACGGCTCTGGCTTCAATGAAAGTTTTGGGGCAGGCATCTACCGTCTGAAAGATGGCTTCGGAGAGAGTTTTCCGCTGGGCCATCATTCAACCGTCTTTCAAGCAGAGATGCTGGGCATACTTAAGTGTGCAGAGTATCTGAACGCGAGAGACACAAAAAAGATGAAAATATTCATCTGCAGTGACAGCCAGGCGGCGATACACGCCCTGGAAAAACCCACTACAGAGTCACAGGTGGTGTGGGAATGCATGCAGGCATTGGACACACTGGGTAAATACAACCGGGTGACCGTAACCGGGGTACCAGGGATTCTGGGTAATGAAGAGGCAGTTAAGCTGGCCAGGGAGGGTACAGAAAGGGTGCCCTCACACGGCCTGCTTGGCATGCCCTTCGCAGTGGGAAAAACTCTTATTAAAGATCATTTCCAGCGGGATCATGTCAGGCGTTGGGAGAAAGTTGCGACCTGCAGACAAGCGAAACTGCTTATGAGAGGGCAACTAAGAGTTAGGACCAGAAAGCTTCTGGAGCTGCACAGAGGGGATCTGAGGGTAGCAGTAGGGCTCCTTATGGGTCATACAGCTCTCAGAGCTCATCTGTTCAAGTTGAAACTTGCAGAAAAAGAAGACTGCAGACTGTGCGGAGGCGATGAGGGCGTCATCCACATTTTATGTGAATGCCCCCTATTAGCACTCCGTCGCTATAAAATCTGGGGCCAGGCTTTCCTGAAACCAGAGGACTTACAACAAGCGGCTGTCACCAGCCTTATTAGCCTAGTGAGAAACACAGGGCTGGGGCTGTGTGACTGACCGCAACTAAGGCGGATGTTACAAAAGATCGTATGATTTAGGTGACTCTGGGCACTTTAAGTGACCAACCGCGCATTTTCTATTCTATTCTATTCTATAAACAACTATAAACTAATTCTTCTAGGTATCTGAGCTCTTTCAGGTCCTTATGGAAAAATACTTCCTCGATGCCATTTCGTAGAAACCATTCCATAGGTACTCAAAATTTGCTAATACTACAAATAACTAAAAATAATTGTAGTCAGGAATCCGTCGCCATTTTGGCTATAGCTATCACTCAGTCCCTACTTGTGCTCCAAAAACCGATAGAACGTTCATTTGAATTCGGATTGTAAAAATTTCAAAACTACAATCAATTACAAACGATTGCAGATGTAAATCCCATATCACTTAAGCTCCGGCTATAAAATAGTTCCTGTTTTTCGAAAATGGATTTAAGGCTTACTTGAATTCGATTGACGAAATTTCGAAACCACAATTAACTGCTAATGATTGCATATGAGAATCTATTTCATTTACAATTTTTCTTACTACTACAAACAACTAAAAACGAATCCTCCTATGTATCTGATCTTCTTCACGACCTTCTTTTCTATTGGATAAGAAATCTATGAGTACTACAAACAACTACAAACGATTGTAGACAGGAATCCGTCGTCATTTTAGTTATATCTATCACTCAATCCCCACTTGGGCTCAAAAAATCGATAGAACATTTATTTCAATTCGGATTGAAAAAATTTCAAAACTACAATTAACTACAAACGATTGCAGATGGGAATCCCATGTCACTTAAGCTCCGGCTATAAAATAGTTCCTCACTGTTTTTCGAAAATGGATTGAAGGCTTACTTGAATTTGAATTGACGAAATTTCGAAACTACAATTAACTACAAACGATTGTAGACAGGAATCCGTCGTCATTTTAGTTATATCTATCACTCAATCCCCACTTGGGCTCAAAAAATCGATAGAACATTTATTTCAATTCGGATTGAAAAAATTTCAAAACTACAATTAACTACAAACGATTGCAGATGGGAATCCCATGTCACTTAAGCTCCGGCTATAAAATAGTTCCTCACTGTTTTTCGAAAATGGATTGAAGGCTTACTTGAATTTGAATTGACGAAATTTCGAAACTACAATTAACTGCAAATGATTGCATCTGAGAATCTTTTTCATTTTCAATTTTTCTTACTACTACAAACAACTAAAAACGAATACTCCTATGTATCCGATCTTCCTCACGTCCTTCTTTTCCATTGGATTGGGAATCTATGAGTACTACAAACAACTACAAACGATTGTAGGCAGGAATCCGTCGTCAGTTTGCCTATAGCTATGACTTGGATTATGAAAATGAATAGAACACTTATTGGAATTCGGATTGACAAAATTTCAAAACTACAATCAACAAGCGATTGCAGAAAAGCATCCGATGTCAATTAAGCTGGAACTGCAGGATAGTTCTTAAGTATCTCTCGAAAATAAATGACATGATTATTTGAATTCGGATTGAAAAATTTTCGGGAATAAGATCAATTACAAACAATTACAGATAAGTCTTTCATGTTTCCTAATTTTTCCACCTTTCAAAACAACTACAACCAAATCCTCCTACATATCTGATCTTTTTCAGGTTCTTTATGAAAAATAATTTTTCGGAACCATTTCTTAAAAACCATACCGTCAATTTTTTTCATTGGACGGACAATCTGCAAGCACTACAAACAACTACAAACGATTGCAGATGAAAATCCGATGCCAATTGAGCTGCAACTGCAAAATAGTTCCCAACTGTCTTTCAAAAATGAATCAGGCGTCTATTCGAAGTCGGATTCGAAAAATTTCAAAACTATGATCAACTATAAACGATTGCAGATGAAAATCCGATGCCAATTGAGCTGCAACTGCAAAATAGTTCCCAACTGTCTTTCAAAAATGAATCAGGCGTCTATTCGAAGTCGGATTCGAAAAATTTCAAAACTATGATCAACTATAAACGATTGCAGATGAAAATCCGATGCCAATTGAGCTGCAACTGCAAAATAGTTCCCAACTGTCTTTCAAAAATGAATCAGGCGTCTATTCGAAGTCGGATTCGAAAAATTTCAAAACTATGATCAACTATAAACGATTGCAGATGAAAATCCGATGCCAATTGAGCTGCAACTGCAAAATAGTTCCCAACTGTCTTTCAAAAATGAATCAGGCGTCTATTCGAAGTCGGATTCGAAAAATTTCAAAACTATGATCAACTATAAACGATTGCAGATGAAAATCCGATGCCAATTGAGCTGCAACTGCAAAATAGTTCCTAACTGTCTTTCGAAAATGAATGAGGCGTTTATTTGAAGTGGGATAGGAAAAATTTCAAAACTATGATCAACTATAAACGATTGCAGATGAAAATCCGATGCCAATTGAGCTGCAACTGCAAAATAGTTCCTAACTGTCTTTCGAAAATGAATGAGGCGTTTATTTGAAGTGGGATAGGAAAAATTTCAAAACTATGATCAACTATAAACGATTGCAGATGAAAATCCGATGCCAATTGAGCTGCAACTGCAAAATAGTTCCTAACTGTCTTTCGAAAATGAATGAGGCGTTTATTTGAAGTGGGATAGGAAAAATTTCAAAACTACAATCAACTACGAACGATTGCAGATAAGAATCCGATGTCCTTTTAGCTGTAACTATGAAATACTTGCTGTCTTTTGAAAATGTATGAGGCGCTTATTTTTCAACTACAAATAAAAAAAATGGTACTACTATCATGTGGCGATCAAAATCTACCAAATATCAAATTTTCGTTTCAATTCATCAAGGTGGGGTGCCAACTTCACAGACCTCGCAAAAGTTGGTTTCTTTCATTTAATTTTTCTCCTATTCTATCCAATTCGAAAGGCTGAAATTTTAATCAAGTATTGAGGGTAGGTTAAGGAAGGACTTAACGGATTCCATTGACTATTTATTGGCAAAAAAATTCAACGAAATTTTTCTTGCCAATAAATAGTAAAACCAACTTTTGCGACCGCTTCCATTACCCCTTAAGGCGCGACGCTAACCGCGCGACCACAGACATCAGGCGAGCTAGCGCGACCAACCAATGGGTAATAAGGATGATTGACATTCGAAGTATGCTAACAACCATCCTTGAAATCTCATTTTTTTAAGTGAAAGAACAGCAGTTTTTATTTATTCCTGGTCTAATTAGTCTACTTCAAATATTTGAGGGTCGTGGTCAAATGCATATGCATATTCTGATTTTCGTCGGGGGCAAAAATAGATTTTTTTGTTTCCTGCGTCTTCGTGATTTGCGGTTCTAGTTCTGTTCACTTCCATTGAAAGGGTAATGAAAATTAACCCACCAAGGTGAATATTTGCCTCAGTAGTACTTGGTCCGGTGGAATGGGGACAGGCAATTCTTACGGAAAGTGCATAGAGTGGTGAAAATACCCATTCACCTCAGGGGGTTAAAATGCAACTATAGTTTTTACAGTTGTTCTCGAAAGTAAAGAACAAATCCAGAGTTTTTTTGCATCAAAAGAGTATTTTTTGTTCTTTTTTTTATAAATAATAGTCGTTGGATGCCATAGATGTTCATGGTTTTTATATACATTGATTGATACATTAATTGATCAATTGATCAATTCATGCACTGAGTGTTGATTCTTCCAAAAATAAAGCAGAGCACATTTCTCATAAGTAAATTGATTTTGCGTGTTACGGCATAAAGAGCATTCCTCAATCATCCATTTTATGTACACCGATTAACAGACCAATCTTTGTAAAAATTTTCCTTAGCATCGATGTATGATACAAATAAAGGGACTTTCAGTGAAGAAATGTGGGTCGATTGGCAAACTTAACTTGGTTAAAATAAGAAGAACAATTTGAACAAAATTCTGATACTTCTGTCCCATCGAAATGAAATCTATTTGATTTTTTTATAGCAATTGTTTAAATACAATTTTAATAATTATTTTTGGTATTGCAGTCAAGTTAAAGTATTCTTCTCGAGCATTCACTCTCTCATTGCGTCGTATGGAAATGAAAAAAACAATAATTGAACAGTAGAAGAGATGAAGGGACAAAAGTTTGAGAATAGAAACCGAACTTCAGGTAATCATTTCCCGAGGCATTCGTAGAGAACCGAACACGAGAAACGATGACGTAGACCAGCTAGGACTCCGGATATTGATTAGGTAAACATGAATAATTAATCTATTACATGGCGAAGAAAAAACGAAGTGCATAAAAAATATATTTGGCTCTGATAGACCGATTATTTGTGCATTGTTAAGTCGAGTGGAATAACTTGTTCCATCTCGGTAACTCCCTGACTTTTCACTTTAAGATCCGGTCCCATCCTCTCACGAAAATCGACGTTGGTCCACATGTTTTGCAGTTCATATTTCAAATCAACAGATCCCAAGAGTTGCTTAAATAAAGGATTCTGCGTCTGCATAATGAGATTCGACAAGAATTTTGTCTTCTCTGAAAGATCATTATTGTGGATGCAGCAAGCATGACGACAGCAGCATGGCTCCTTCTCATTTTCATGTTTGGGCTTCTCCGATATATCCATCTTCATGAAATTATCAGCTCGTTTGATAACGGAATGTCTCACTGGGTTTTCCTTTTTGTATGGTGTACTGTTCATAATTGATTCGATTTTTGTGTAGTCTACTATAACTTTGGACTGACAATTGTCCTCGATTTTGATTGGCGTCGACTGCGTCGTAATCCTCGGGATATGATGAGGAACTTCGTCTCGTAAAGTTGAGATTGGTTGGTCATCGATGACGTGGCCAGGAAACAATGAATTGGAAATTCTTTCGGTAGTACTGATGGCTTCTTCAAAAATTCTGGGAAATGATTTCATTTCGTAATTATAGCTCTCAGGCGATGTGAGATATTCCTGTTCTTCAGGCCTTTGGATATTGTACATGTTGTTCCATTTCACGAATTTCCGTTGCTCTTCGAAACTCAAACTACCTCTCGGACTCACTGAAGAAGATATTGTCATTGTACTTTCCATACTCGAGTCTTTTTTGTCTGATTCTCGACTGCTTCGTTCCTCGGAGGATACATCGAATTTTGACTCTTGACTACTATTATTTTCGTCAAAACTTTTCTCTTGGATTTTGTCGTTGTTATTGGCATAGTGACGATAAGTTTTGACATGTTTACGGAGCGATGAGGGGTCAGTATAACGCTTTGGGCAACCTGGGACCTTGCAGCAGTAAGGTTTATCTACGGCGTGGGTTCTGGTATGCTTGAAACGATCCGAGGAGTTGGAGTATCTTTTTCCACAACCTTCGACCGTACAGACGTAGGGGCGTTCACCAGTGTGTGATCTAGCGTGAATTTTGAGGTTTTCGGCGCGACTGAAACTTTTATCACATTCTAGGCAGTGGTGAGGCTTTTCATTTGTATGGGTTCGCACATGAACCAGCATTTTGTATCTAGACAAAAACAGAAATAATAATATTCAAATAAGTAAAAGAAAATGAAACTGAGGTGTAGATAAATGTGAAATATTTCATTGGGAAAGTGATTATAATTCAACATTTAATGAAGGAGTCTTCCGTTCAATATTCAAATTATTGGTCCCTGGTGGTCACTCGCTTTTTAATGGATCAGAGAAGGATAGCATGCATCTGATCATCTTTATTCAATGCCTTTGATAAATGGGGTAAGTAACGCCCTGTTGCCATCTGTTTCAGATTTGCAAAAACTACCCAATTGTTATAGCAGTTCTACCAGAGATACTTTCGTGAGAAAATAGCGAAAGGGGTGCGATTTATAATTGGCAGCGCCATTTGAATACCATAATCATGAAATTTGCCATATGTAAATGTTAAATAAGGTAATATCAATTTTTCTAGAAATGTTGGTCCTTACACAAACATTTTAAATAAAAAAAGATGAAAAATATTGAAAATTAAGAAAGTCATGATTATTTGAAAAGTTTTCTGTTTTTACATGAATACTTTTAGGAGATTTTTGTTTCGAATTTTAGTCAATATCTAAATCGACTTTGGAGCTATTAAATCCCATATTGGTATATGGCATAAGTATGAAAGCGTCAAAATGTTCCGTCACACGTGATATTCCATCTGGTCTTATGGACTTTATGCAGCCAAATTTATTTTCTAAAACTCGAATTTTTTATCTGAAATTTTCACAAAAAATTATCAGTAAGATGATGAAAATTTGGACATCAATTATACTACATTAAAGTACAAGGACACAAACTTCGTTTTCGACGAATGTGAAGTTCACAGGCCGAGTTAAAGGCGAGGTCTGTACTCACATTCATTGAAAATGAAGTTTATGCTCGAGTGATCTACAATATTAGGTGTATAACTTAATCTTTCCGTTTTTTTCATTGAGTGCGGTGTCTTATTTAAAATTCAAATATTTACGCGTCCGTTTGCGATTCTGAAGAGTGAACCTTACTGTTTTTAATAGGCTATATGTTATGCCTGAAAAAGCTGTGTAACTTCACAAAACAGTACTATATACAATGGCGACCGATGCGCAGTACACTCGGCACTGTATTCTCTACGAGTTCCAACAAGGCAAAAAAGCCATTAAAGCCCACGATTCGATTTGTTCAACTCTCAGGGGAACGCCCTGGACAGCCTCTGAAAAATTGTGACGGGAGATGAAAAATATATATTTTTTTGCAAATCGCAAACGAAAACAGTCATGTGTAAATCCCGGACAACCATCGACATTCACTCCCCAACAAAAAAATCACAAAAAGAAGGTTCTCCTCTGCATCTGGTGGGATATGAAGGGTGTACTCTATTACGAACTTTTGGAAACAGGTCAGACAGTTACTGCAGAACGCTACAGTCGATAATTGAACAAATTGAGCGAGGCACTTGATTAGAAGAGGCCATTTACTGGGCAAGGGAGCCGGAAAGTCATGTTGCTCCATGATAACGCTCGACCTCATGTTGCTCGCGTGACTCAAAATGAGCAGATGTTGAAGCCTATCCGACAGAAGCCTTTTTATTGTTACTTTGTGTGTTATTACTTCCTTTATTTTTTAATTTCTACCAGTTTCATTGGTAGTATGCTTCCGAATGGATCCGTAGCAATTACAGGAAAAAAAATATGAAGTTTGGTGACCATGTCTGCATGTGAACATTTACAGCGCCAGCTTTCTGATGGTTAACTTTTAGAAAAGTGAGTAATGGATGGGCTAAAATAATTTTTGTTTAAATTTATTAGGTGTGTGACTTAATTTTTACAGATTTTTCAGTAAATTTATTTAATATAAAAAATAGAGAAAACAGAACTTAATCTTGGAAATATTGTCCATCGTTTTCTATGACCTTGCGCCATCTCTCAGGTAACATTCGAATGCCGTTGCAAAAGAAACTTGCAGGCTTCGAGGCGATAAAGTCATCGACTAAGGCGTGCTGCATGGACCGGAACAAGTGATAGTCGGATGGGGCCAAGTCTGGTGAATATGCCGCATGCGGGTGAACTTCCCATCCCAAGTTCAAGAGGGTCTTCTGAGTCGCGCGAGCAACGTGAGGTCGAGCATTGTCATGCAGCAGTATGAATTGGGCTTTTCCGATCAAGTTCTTCGTCCAGTTTGTTCAGTTGTCGGCTGTAGCGTTCCGCAGTCACCGTCTGACCTGTTTCCAGGAGTTCGTAATAAAGCACACCCTTCATGTCCCACCAGATACACAGGAGAATCTTCTTTAAGTGGATGTTCTGTTTCGGCATCGATGTACTGGATTGTTCGGGATCTACCCACGACTTTTTATGTCTGAGATTCTCGTAAAAAATATACTTTTCATCACACGTCACAATTCTCCACAAGAAGTCCTTTTTTTGTTGCCGGGCAAGCAGTGAAAGGCACGTGTTCATACATTGACCTGGGTTGTGTTCGGTCAACACATGTGGGACCCACCTTTTAAGTTTTTGGATTTTTCCCATTTGACGCAAGTAGAGGTATAGGGCCGGTTCTGGCCCAACCATTTTGGGAAGGGTCTGGGGGTGTCCCGCGAATGGGTGGTGGGATGGGATTAATTAATTCGCGGTTTTAATTCGCGGTTTCGATTCGCGGTTTTAATTCGCGGATTTCACTTTTCGTCGATTCGAGGGTCAAGAGCTATGGGGGAGTCCCCATGAGTGGATGGTGGGGAGGTGGGGTATATTAATTCGCGTTTTAATTCGCGTGTCAATTCGCGGTTTTAATTCGCCATTTAGTTCGCGGTTTTAATTCGCGGTTTAGTTCACGGTTTNTTCGCCATTTAGTTCGCGGTTTTAATTCGCGGTTTCGATTCGCGGTTTTAATTCGCGGATTTCACTTTTCGTCGATTCGAGGGTCAAGAGCTATGGGGGAGTCCCCATGAGTGGATGGTGGGGAGGTGGGGTATATTAATTCGCGTTTTAATTCGCGTGTCAATTCGCGGTTTTAATTCGCCATTTAGTTCGCGGTTTTAATTCGCGGTTTAGTTCACGGTTTTGATTCGCGGTTTTGATTCACGGTTTTAATTCGCGGCTTTAATTCGCGGTTTAGTTTGCGGTTTTGATTCACGGTTGTAATTCGCGGCTTTAATTCGCGGCTTTAATTCGCGGTTTTGATTCGCGGTTTTAGTTCGCGGATTTCACGTTTCGTCGATTGGGAGGGGGGCTTTTAACATTCTTGAGATTGTATCAAAGATAAGAAGGGTTAAGTGCAAAAGGTCATAAATCATTTTTTTTTACAATTCCTGGAAAAGAGAAAGTATCACATTCCTTAAATTCCTGAGATAACAAGAATGAGTCATCACAGCAGGTAAGGGTTTTAATTCGCGGATTTCACGTTTCGTCAATTGGGGGGGGGGGGCTTTTAACATTCTTGAGATTGTATCCGAGATAAGAAGGGTTAAGTGCAAAAGGTCATAAATCTGAAATTCTTGGGTGGACCATACAACGATTTCATTCTAGGCCAGTTCTTGAAACCAACTAAGGAGGAGTAGAACGCTTTTTAGAGGACAAACGAAAAAACAATATTTTAATTTTATGATTTTTATTGATGAAATTTTTCAAAAATACAATGTATTAGTTTCTAAGAAAATACATAAATATTATTTTTTAAAAACAGTTCTTTTTTAATGTTAAAATTCATGACATTCATCACAATCCCTTATCATCGGAGTCGGCCCATCAAACGTATCTCCTTCAGTAGTTTTATAATGCTCTGAACATCTTCTGCATCTTTTGATGTACCAATCATTTTTCATCATATCAGT